AAAATTAAATCGTGATAAGAGAATGCATCAGCAGGGCACTGTCCGTGCTTGAAAACTAAATTGGAAGATGACACCATTATTAAGTCAAGAAGGGAAGGAGTACTGTTAGGAAAGTTATGAGTAGCAGAAAGGGGTAGGATTTGCATATTACACGCTTCAATTATAGCTTCAAGTTTTATAGATCGATTGTCGCCTTTAAGCAAACAGGTGTTAAAGTCACCCATCAAAATAGTGTGACTATACGTAGGGACTAGTGATTCTAAAAGAGATTCAAAAGAAGTAAAATAATTTATAGAAAGGGAGGGACTGTAGAAAACTCCAAGTAGGATTTTATTCTGAGACAGGGAGACCTCAACCAGCAAATGCTCAGCAGAATCAACAGGAGGTGGTTGACTTGACGAACTAACAATTTTAAATGGAAGGTAGGATCTTAGATAGATCGCCACGCCCCCACCACCCCTATTAGTGCGGTCATTTCTAATTAGATGAAACCCAGGCAAAGAATAAGAAGTGGAAGGCAGACAGGGTTTTAGCCAAGATTCTGAAACTAAAATGGCGTGAATATTTTGGGATTCAAATGACGCAAGCATGTCAGGATAATGAGCCGGAATGCTTTGGGCGTTAATATGAATAGCATTAAAGTTATTCACACAGTCTGAGAAAAAAGAATTTAAGGTGATGTTGAGTGAAGGAGGAGCAGTTGTACTGTGATAACTATCATCACTAAGTGTCCCATCGTCCGAAGACAACGATAGAAACAAATCACTATCGTTACAAATGTTTGAGGAGGCCATAAATATTAAATTAAAATATAAAATAAATTCTTATATACACTAAAAAAAAAGAAGAAAAAAAAAAAAAAATATAAATAAAGATCGAAAGGTACCTATACTATTACAACCACCAGCAGCATGAAAGAGAAAGCACATAACAAAACAACAACTTAAAGAAATAAAACAATCAGTTTAATATAAAAATTACCAAAACCTTGCAGTCTGACGCCAATAGATTTTAAGACATTTTGAAACTGTAAACGTCAGACTAGGCAGTATGGATTAAGATGCCTTTGCCAAAGTTATAAAATAAAATAAAAAATAAGAAAGAAATCTGACAACAGGTAACAACTGTCACTGTTAGTATAAATAAAGGTATTTATACGTAAATATTATTAACAAAAAATATAATGATTAATTAATCTACCAGTTATGTGAAATAATTAAAATAATTTCAGTAACAATATGTGTTGCAGTGGAAACCTATTATAAAACTTATGTCTTAAAAATGAATGGCAAAGAATTATAATTAAAACCTGATTACCTAAAAGTTACAAAAATATAAGAATTGAGCTGCTGGAGTAAATTAGTAAAAACAAAATCATAAGAAAAACATGCCACTACCATCATTTTTTAGCCGTCTTCCTAGCCCTAGCAGTAGTAACACAGGGCTTGGGAGCCGAAGATGCCGCCGCCGCCGTCGCCGCAGTCAAGGATGTGGTAGTAGGGACACCACCAGCTGCATCAGGAATGGCGATCACCTCAGCCACGGTGTACACCCGGTGCTTCGTGCCGTCGGACCCAAGCACCACAACATATCCATCGCGTGTCCAACACTGGGATACACCAAAGCGCTTCCGAGCAGCAACAAACGCCTCAAGACGACCCTTAGTCATGAACTCAGATAGAGTAACTCCGCTACCCTTTAGCTTGGTTTTGGAAAACCAAACTTTGTCACGGAGATCCTGATCTTGAAATTTCACGAGCAACACACGAGGCTTGTCGCCACGGGGGCGCCCTAAGCGATGGCATCTGGTAATAGAGTCCACACTTAATTCAGGGATGTTCAGCCGCTCTGATAATACCTTACTTGTGCAATGTACTAGGTTCTCATCTTGAGCTTCTGGCATTCCATGGACAAGCAACATCTTCCTCCTGGTCCTTACCTCCATTTCATCTTGCTGCCTAGAGAGAAGCTGGAGCTGAAGTTGCAGATTCTCAAGTGCTGACAGGACGAATGCCCTAAATGCATTAAATTGTGCATTAATATTGGAAGAAGGGCTCGTTGCAGGGATGGATGTTCTGACCTCCCTCTGGAACTCATCCATACGTGAAGTGAAATTCAGTGTTAGCTCTTCAATTGACTTCTTAAGCAAATCCATTTTTAATATTCAATTAAAGGTTACTTAAAGGTCAATGTCAAGTGACAGTGAAGTGGCAAAATAAGTTTTAAGTTGTGCAATGAAAAACAAATTATTAGTAAACAATGCTGGTGGATTTATGTAATTACAGGTACATTTATATACTTGATTGTTCTAAATTTACTATAATTAAAACTTTAAAAAATCAGGAACGATTTTAAATATGTCAACACAGTTTTGCGCCTACCCACCGAAAAAAAAAAAAAAAAAAAAAAAAAAAAAAAAAGAAAAAAAAAAAAAATAATGTTTAAATTCTATTTGCTATCTAACTTGTGTTTATTATTTATATTCGTATTTTATTACGATAACCTTATTAATCAAATAGTATTCTATTACATTAACATTTATTTAACAAACGCATTAAAATAATGACATAAAAGCAAAATAATAAGTGGGCCTCCGGGTGTGCCGGCACTATCTTAGTGAACAGATTAAATAGTAGTATAGAGATTATAGTATGTGTTTATGAATATGGTACAATGTACAGTACAGTACAGACTACAGACGATTCAGGCTATACATACATTAAAGCTTTCGGTCACACTTGTTAATAAATAATAAAACGATATGAAAATAGGTTGCCGATTCTTGTTTATTTGATAGGGGCGCGAACTTGAATTTGAACTACCGAATTAACTTGATAAATACATATTTTGGAAAAAAAAATGAATGGCACCTACGACAGAACGTGAACTCTGATCGAATATTTAAAATGTACCTCCGTGAGACATAGCCAACTTGGACTATCAACGATAATATGAATATAAATTGCATAGCTAAAGGGATTACAACTTACTATTAGTGAAAACAGTAAATAACAACAATAAATAATAACGTGTTTACTAGTTACAACAATGTCTAACAATCTGCTTTTAAAAGTAGCATAGAAAAATAAAAATGGTACGCATACCAAGAAATTGGTACTTCTAACAGCACTGCATTTGTTGTTATGATCCATCAATTAAGGCAAGCAGAGGTCTCAGACCATACAACCTTATCTGATGTGTATTTTATTCATTAGGTATATATATTTTTTTATAACTGGCTTTATGGCTCTGGGTTCTGACCCTTCTGAGCCTGAAGTTTAAATGTATATTTATCAGTCATATTGTGGAGCTCTTGGGAGATTTTGACGGCAATTTGAGCCAGCAGACAGCTGGCAGTTGGCGATGGTACCTCAAGGCGCCTAAGCAGACAGACACATTACCTTGAGAATCACAACACCATCAGAGCACTTGTTTCACCGTTTCCACTAATAGTTCACATGTACAGACACTTAATACACAAAAACGCACCAATTTTATATATCAAAATCTACTTCAAACCATTATTTAAACAATAATGCAGGAGCAGCAAACCAACGCCGGTCAAGTTCCCTTCAAAACCTCCATTAGGTATGTACCACAAACTAGTAAGAAGTGCTAGCGCAAGTATGTACTTTACATTAAAACATAGATTACTGTATACCAGTTTACGACACTAAAATGTCAAATTTTCCTGCGATAGTGTAGTAAGTAGTGTAGGTATCAATTTTTTATTTGAAATAGGTTTTAGCGATATCTGTATCAAGTTCAGTTCAAGTTCTCTCGCCAGAAAGCAGAAACTATATGTTACCAACATTTGTTATCGATATTTCCTCGCCGAATTGAAACATGTTGCCAACTATTTGAGAAACATTTTAGCTGATAACTTGCTGTCTTCACCAAAGTTTTGTTGGCAACAATATGTCTTCAAGTGCCGATATTATGCAGGCAGCAGACGATATTATATATGCAGTATTTATAATTTTATGCAAAAAAAAAAAATAACACCAGTAGTTGAAATTATCAATTTCAAAATTTTTAATTTCATTAGTTGTTTCTCTTCGTCTCTTTTTAAAAAACGTTACATCCACACTACAATTTTCTCCAGTATCGCAGGGATAATTTACATACATAGAACAGACCTAGAACAATCATTTGTAGGCCATACAAATACTTGTTCCGTCCGGGATTCGAACCCGCGGCACTTAGCGCTGTAACTCATTACTAAACCACTGCGCCACGGAGCCGTCACTTGTCTGTTTCACATTTTTTGCTATTTTACAAACATGCGATACGCGACTTCATTATTAATGAAAGAGTGGCAATGAGAAGAATTAAACAACTACCAGTACATGCTGATCTTGCATTAGTAGGCAGTCACTAGTACTGGGAGGTCTACTTACACTGAAATAATTTTAAGGTCATTGGCATTATACGTGAAAAAAACGAAATATCAAATAATAAATCTGTATTTATTATTTGATATATATAAATAATAATATAATTTTGATTACATACATCCCATAATATATTTTTTGAACAATATAAATTAATTAATGTGTCGATTAACTCGTTGGTCCACGTGACAGACATGTTGCCGACAAATGTTTCCAACAAGCGTCTCCACAGAGGGAACAAATGTTTGCAATAATCGTATTCCTTTGATGTTGCCGCCGAAAATGGAAACACGGTTCGCGACATTGTTTACAAGTTTTGTTGCCAACATTAGTTAGTTACAGAAACTTTTGTCACGAATACGTGTTGACAACACAAAAGTTGGTAACAAAACGGCTCAGAAGGGCTGGTACCCAGAGCCGTAAAGCCAATTAAAAAATGGTAACAAAACTTTGGTAGAGACCATAGAGAAAAGTAATACATCAGGAAGTGGAGTGGAGACGCAAAAATGTCACAACAATCTACATTCAACATTTTGTGAAAATACACTATTTGAGGTTTTCAAATATTCACCATTTGTTATTATTTTCAATTAGATTTTAAGAAACATGGAACGAAGTAGTGATATGATGAAAAATTTTGAAGCTGCTCTAAAGGGAACTAACACACGTAAACCACCACAAATTTACATAGAAAAGGCTGAAGAAGTTTCAGTAATGCCTTATTCCGAACGACATTATTCAGCAAATGATGTATTATTAAATATTTCCAAGCAATTAACATCTCTGCAGAACGCAGACAGCATAAGAAAAGATTTCAATATAAACCATAAAATGGTTAAACACAAAAAGTGTGCCCTAATACCTGTGAATATGTTGTCACTGGATGATAATGTAAGCATCACTTTCCTTGTAACATAACTTTATATTTTTTGCAAAAAATATTGGTTACTTCAACTTATTTTAGAGACTTCTTGATTTTTTGTAAAGCATTGCTTTTTTAATAAACATACTCATATTATGTACCATATTCAAGTCACAATTAGCTGTTGAAATAATATAATATAATTTTAATTTTAAATATATAATATAATTTTAAACGTAGTAGAGCCATGCTGCAGCTGTATTAGTAGTATAGTTGTAGCACGAATGGGTCGACTCGACCGGGGAAGGACTACGCTCTCACAGAATACCAGCGTCAAATAGCAGCTTAACACTGCTGTGTTTCGTATGGTGACTGTAGAGAACCGGAGACCCTTTTTACTGGAAAAGAGGCATTCCATCTTAGTCCTCACGGGTGGCAACACATTGCATTTTGATTCGCAAACGAAGATAAGTGTAGATGTCTATGGGCCACAGCAACCACTTACCATCAGGTGGACTGTGTGCTTGTTTGTCACCCTATCCTATAAAAAAAAATAAATATACCGTCAAACTGTCCAATTTTGCCCGCTTTTTTACAATTATATTGATTTTCTTAAATAAATTATATGGTATGGTATATTTCTCATTTTCCAACAATGGCCTAGTCAATTATGGAATTGTGTTACGATTGTAAATTTAGTCTTATTTACATCCAATTTCAATCAATTTCTTCTATCATCATCTAGTAATATAGGTTGAGTGAGCCTTTAAGTAAGGCTTTTAAGTATTGCATAAGCAGGCTTAGGGTTTAATTTTTTCTTACTTTTGCTGACAAAGGCATTGGAGGGAATACTAAAAATATTACGTAAGAAAAAAAATTATAAAACAAAAATATTTTTAAAACAATATTTATTATTTTATTATGGTATACCAATTTACTTTTCATATTTCTTACTAAGAGTAACTAAATGAGTTTTCTAAGAATTTACTGTAAACTACCACGTGAGTAAAGAATTTTTTTTTACATATTATCATTTGGGGGAGGGGAGAGTTCTGAATTTTCTTATTTAGCTCACTCATGCTCCCGGTGGAGGTCTAAAATCATAGAAAGCTTGCTTACATAATACTTGAATGTCCCCCTAAGTTATTAGCTTCTGCAGTCCTTTAGTTTTTCTATTTTATTAAAGTTTACCTTTGTTGATTCATAAGTGTGGTTGCCACACAGTTTCTTATTATTTTTACTTTTATTAGGAACATGCTGTTGTCCATCTCCTTATTTATTTCTCTGTTGCCTCTTAAGACACCCCAGAGAATATATGCAGTGTTTTATTGTTTATAAAGCATGAATTTTAATAAATGAAGCTCAATTTATGGATGTGGAGTAAAGTAAAAAAGCAAAGTACAGTCTTTATACATTCCATTCCTTGGCAGGAACAGATAGACTAATATATACTTTTTTAAAACATCTTAGAAATGCAGGTTTACTCACAAATGCAGTAAAGACACACATAGTACAGCAGAGCATGTGATCAGCACTTAAAACTGCAATAAAAATTTTTGACTCTAGGTTTCTTTACAAACCTTGATATTTTCTGAGAGAGCTTAGTCCCTGAGCCATGGCTATGTGTATGTAAGGATGAATTAAATGTAATATGTTAATTGCATGTGGATAAACATCCTATCTGTAATAATTATTTGTGTGGGTGAGTGTGTGTGTGTGTCATATAGATAATTTCCTCAAGGTGATATCATTCTCTGTGGCAACAAATACATTTTACAGAAATCCCTGTTCATAATCATTCCGAACACAGTTTTATTTTCAGTATAATTAACATGGTAATCACTGTTGGGCATAATATGCCTCTCCTAAGCTTGAATAATATATTAAATTAATCACATAACTCTTATGATATATCCTTATAATCTGGTCTGCTAAAAAATAATTTGGAATGAGCTATTTCAAGTTGCCCTGGAGGTGGTTGTGCTTTGTGGTATTCCTTGAGGAAGTCCTATGGTGGTGAAGTGGACTTGTGATGGGCTGTAATCACGATGATGAAGGAGTCTTAACAGGCAGACTGTAAGATTTTGGTGCTTGCTTATCTTCACGCACAATCCCTGACGGGGTAGCCAGAGAGAACAGATCGCCAAGTGTCACGATCCTTACAAACCTCTTTCGCTTCTTTCAGATTCATTATCTTCTTCATGCATGCACGTCTAGGTATCCGAGTACTTTTGACCCTACCCTCTTCGAGCAATTTGCTCACATGGTCTTCGAAAGTTAGTCTCGGTCTACCTCGACACCTTTTAATATTAACTTTCGCGCTATATATTTTCTTCACCATTCGGTCTTCACTCATTCGCTCAACGTGCCCAAACCACCGAAGCACGCCCTTATCAATTTTTGTGATAAGGTCATCTTTCAAACCTGCCATATTGCGAATCTCTTCGTTTCGCTTTCGGTCGGCCATGGTAACGCCGCACATTTTACGAAGAGATCGCATCTCCACTGCATTCAACTTACTTTTATGCTTCTTCTGGCATACCCAGGTTTCGCTGCCATATAACAAAGTCGGTACCAACACTGCGTTATGTATTGCAAGGCGTGCACTCTTCGCTACGCCTTGCCTTTTGACTAACGCAGTCAGGGCACCATTGACTTTGTTCCCGGCAGCGACACGCCTGTCCACATCTAAATCACATCTTCCATCCCGGCTAAAAGCACTCCCCAAGTATACAATTTCATTTACCTGTTCTAGACATTCCTGATTTACCCATATTTCACACTTCGTTCTCTCTTCGTCCCTTTCAAATACCAGAACCTTAGTTTTATTAGCATTCAAACGGAGACCTTTAATTTCACATTCCTTTTTCATACACGTGACTAATGCCTGCAGTTCTGCCTCTGATGGTGCAATAAGCACTGCATCATCAGCATACAGCAGACAATTTACTTTAATGTCACCCAATTTCACACCCAAACAACTATCTTTCAGCTTCTGTAAACAGCTGTCGAGATACAGTATGAACAGCCAGGAAGACATGACACAACCCTGCTTTACGCCCGTTTGGACGTTAAACATGGGTGACAGGTCATGCCCTACCCGCACACAGGCTTTACAGTCACAGTAAAGAGACTGCACAGCCCTTAGCAATCGACCATCCACACCATACCCCGGCAACAGTTCCCACATTTTCTTCCTTACAACCTTATCAAATGCTTTCTCAAGATCCACAAAAGCACAGAAAATCTTCTGGTTAGCAGCCAGAAGCTTCTCCGTGATCATGCGGAGAGAAAACATTTGATCCGTGCATCCTCTTCCAGGTCTAAATCCGCATTGTGCCTCCCATAGAAATCTTTCCGATTTCTCTTGCATCCTACGTGTCAAAACCTTCGAGTAAACTTTACTTGCTAAACTGGTCAAGCTGATCGCCCGATAGCACCCGCAGTCAAAATGTGAACCTTTACCTTTATATAAAGGCACAATGACTGCGGATCGCCAATCATCCGGGACATCCCCCGTCCGCCAGCACAAAATGCACAGCAGATGAAAGCTGTCCCAGACGCGAGGCCCACCATACTTGACCATTTCAGCAGTAACTCTGTCTAGTCCCGCAGCCTTACCACATTTCAAACTTCGAATCGCTCGTTCAATCTCTTTCATACTGATGATCTCAGTGTCATCGAGGTCCGGGTCTGGCGTACCAGTCACGGCGTCATCCCCGGATCCCTCACTAAGATCATCACACGCATACATTTCTCTATAAAATTCGCTCCATCGCTGCATGACGTCCGATTTTTCTGAGAGGACGTCATTAGTTCTCGAAAGCACTTTGTTCATTCTTAAGGCCGTCGCACCACTCCGGGTCCTTCCAACCTCTTTCCAGAAGAGTTTGGAGTTCTCCTTAAAGTTGTGCGACAACCTTTCGTCCGCTTCCATTCTACACCTTTCACGCACTTCCTCAATCAGTGCTTTCGTGTGAACTTTCTGCAGCCTATATCTTTCTTTCATCTTCTCTCTCATATCCTTATCATTACTAGAGGCCAAGTAGTCTAACCATGCTTTCTTCTTCTTCTTTACAGCTTCTTTCACTTCATCATTCCACCATGCATCTCTTCTTTTACTACTGCCTCTTTTTATTGTTCCACACACTTCTTCCGCTGCACTTACCATTCCATCCCTAAGGTTCTGCCAAGTTCTTTCTACACATTCGTTTCTGCCATCGATGGTGTCAAGCTTTTCGGCTACCCTCGCTTGATATTTGTCCCTAGTATCCGCTTCCTGAAGCTTCCAGCTTCGGATGCGACAGACCGACTGTGGTTCTGTTACTGCCGTCCGGTAGCGCCAACCCGCGAACAGACCCCTAAATCTAGTAATCACTAGATAGTGATCCGTTCCCAGGTCAGCACCCCTGAACACTCGCGTATCCATCACCTGTTTTCGCAGTCGGTCATCCACCAGGAACAAATCAATCATACTTCTCTCATTCTTTCGTTCTCTAGTATACATATGGATTTTCTTGTGATTAAACATAGTGTTTGTCACAAGAAGACCCTTTTCCTTGCACACCGCCAGTATAAGCTTGCCAGCATCATTAACCCTTTTATCGCCAAACTTTCCAAGTACCGACTCGTACCCTGGTCGAGCGGTACCAACCCATCCATTCAAATCACCACATACAACAATTCTTTCGTTTCCCCTAGCTAAATCTAGAACTTCTCTTACATTCTCCCAAAACTCCTCCAGCTCAGCCCTGGACGACGAAGCTACCGGCGCATAAACAGCCAAAAGGAATAACTTCGTCAGTCCCAATTTAAAGCGAACCCAGAGAAGTCTTGAGTTCACAACCTTATATTCAGTCATAACATCGACCAACCGAGAAGACAGCAGCACCCCCACTCCCTGGCAAGCGTTCTCGCTCTCCGGGACTCCTGACCATAGAGCTAACGCCCCGCCAGGGAGCTCTTCAGTACCACTGCCCTTCCGTTTGGTCTCCGACATACACACGACATCTAATTCTCTTTCTTTCATTATTTCGATCAACTCATTCGTCTTATCTCTCATGCCTCCTCTAACATTCCACGTGCCAACTCTGCACTCTGTCCTCCACCTTCCGCCGTGTCGGGCTGTGCGTGACGGGTGGCGGTCCCCATCGCCGCTTTGCACGCTGCATTCCACACCAACGGGGACGAGCTGGTGTGCGTCGCCTTGGGGGGACGCCCTAACCCTCGTTGGCATGGGTGCGCAGCTAGTAGAATTGCAGCCCTGAAAAGGGCTGGCAGGGGTCGCGACGAGCACGCTTCTACAATGACCCCCTAAGATTTTGGTACTAAAAAATAAAATATTTACATATTAATATGTGTATTAAAGAATTATATTATAATCCTATTGTTGATTTGATTTGCTGCACAATGGGTTTCCTTGTAAGAGAATCCACTACCCCTTATCATACCTTTGATGTTGTAAGAGGCGACATAAGGAAACTGAAACAATAGGTGGGCAGCAGCAACTTCCTGAAAACGGCAGTGATAATAAAAAATATATAGTTGTGAACTCTCCCAAAACACATAGTGGGAGGCTGATATGCAGCAGTGGACTTTGATAAGTTGTATCATAAAATTTTACAAAGAAAAATGACAAACAGATGGAATGGTATTTTTAATTTGTGCCATAATTTTGTATTTACAAAACTTTTATGTAAACTACCACCAACATTAGCTAACACAACTGTTATTTTTTGAAATGGCTGGTACTGTAATCTCTCACCTGCATATAAAATTCGATATTCTACCTAATCTTTACAAATGTGGTCCATTTGCATCAACATACAGCAGCAATGACAGTTAACCATGATTTTTTTATTTTATAGTTTGCTGACCAGAGAATTTTTGAAGAAGAAAATTGCTTTGCCAGTAATAAATTTGACACACAGTGTGTATCGGATACTCAGCTTATTAATATTGTTGTAAATGCAGAGAAAATGGTAATACCTAAAGGAGATACACAGGAATTTGAAAATTCATTTTGTGAACAGCTTGTACAAAGAGAAGAAGCTAGTAAAAATTTGGTTGATTCTTTATGTTATAATGATAGGTATGATAAAGAATTTGAACTAGTTAAAGATTTAACTACACCTATTCATTCCATAATACCAAATGTACCAAGTACCAGCAAAAGCCATAATAGCAATGAAGGAAATCTACCCAAAAACTATTCAACAAATATGCTTGATGCTCAGAAAGATGAGAATGAGAATGAAGAAATAGATATTATAGTTCAGAATGTAAATATAATGGAAGAGAATGATAAAACAAGTTCTGAAGTTACACAGGATTTTGAAAATTCATTTTGTGGCCAGCATGTAGGAAAAGAAGAGGCTAGTAAAATTTTAACAAATTCGTTATGTTATTATGATAGGCATGATAAAGATATTGAATTAGTGACAGATTTAAATATACCAATACCTTCAATAATACCTAAGGTACCAAGTACTAGTACCAGTAAAGACCATAATGTCAATGAAGGAAATCAAGCAATAAACTATTCAACAAATATATTAGATACTCAAAAAGAAACAGATATTGAAGTTCATAATGTAGATAAAACACAAGAGAATGTCAAAAATAGTCCTGTTATCAATTACATTAAACCTATTAGTCTTCACAGCAGTAGTGTTCCATTAATTTACACACTGGATGCTTTTGAAAATTTTGCAGCATTGGCCTTTCCAGTTATTGAAAAAAACTTTGAAGCAGCACAATATGTCATCAATTCTCAGATTATTGACAAAGAGTTATGTTTAGGAAATCATATAAAAAAATCCACCCTTCAAAAAGAAGATAGGCCAATCAGTCCTGTCCTAAGTATTAAGATGAATTCAACATCAACTTTAGTAAAAGACAATATTGTGAAAAAAAAGTTATGGAAAGATCCTGACAAAAGTATTGTATTTAAGCAGGGTATATCAGTATCAATTGAGAAAGAAGTAAAAAGTTTTGAAGATGAGATATTATTCAGTAGTGATGAAGAAAAAGATTTTCAGGAGTTACCATTTACATGTGCTATAGAAACTTCTTTTAACAACCAACCTGATATTTTGGATAAGACTATGTATGTTGGCTTCCAAACAGCTAGTAATAAATCTATTCAAATAAATGCAGACTCTTTTTCTAAGGCCAAAAATATTTTGGAAGATGTAGATATTAATAATCACAAGCTAACTTTAACAGAACTAGTAACAATGTGTGATATTGGTAATATCAATAATGTATCACAGTTAAACAAAGGTAATAATAATAATAATAATAAAAATGAAGCTAAAAGTTCATTGAAAGATATAACGAACATTAACGATTCTGTAGTTAATAATAAACCTAAAGAATCAATTGAAGGCACAAATACCATTACGAAAGAACCTAAATCGTCGTCTGTATTACAGGCAAGCAATAGAAAATGTGAAATTAATTTTGAACAGGTAAACATGGCAAATGAAATGAAATTTGATATTAAGAGCACTGATTCCAATCATATATATTCTAAAATTAAAACTGCGATAGGGAAAAATTTGATGAAAAACAGGGATTTGCTTGAATTTCATACGGCAAGTAATAAGACAATCAAGCTTACAGAAAAGGCTTTAGCTAGATGTCGTCAAGTATTCGTAGATTTTGATTTGGATGAAAAATATGACCAAACGGAATCTGAAAATACTCGATGCTATAAGCAACTAAATTATACACCTAAAGACAATAGTGATTTTAAAGAAAATGAAGTAAGAAAACAATCTGAATCAACAGAAATAGACGATCAGAATATTATAAAGGAATTTGAAAATGATTTACTATCTAATACAAGGTCAGAAAATGCTTCAAGCGGTATGGAAATAGAAAACAAAATTCTTTCCAGATGCTTATTAGATACTGAAGAAAATGAAAATTATGCAGATACTGCTCTAAACAAGAAACCTTGCAAAAATATCTCTGATGTAGTTTTACAACACCGGGTAGATGAAAAAAGTTGCTTAAAAAATCACACTGAGAGATATACCACAAAAGTGACTTTTGTTGGTTTTAAAACTGCTAGCAATAAACAAATCGATATATCTGAAAAAGCTTTGACAAAATCCAAAAATATATTCGATGACTTAGACTTTCGAGAGTTAACCAGTGGTGATATGAATTTGTTTGACGAATACAAAACATTAAATATTAAAGATAATAAGTTCTTTAAAGAACAATATGTTGAACGAAATGATAATAAAACGAAAACTGGATCTGAATTAGAAAACAATCAATCGATTAAAGATTTAGAAAAAAAGCATGTTATACTTGAAAAGGAATCGCCACAGTTTGATGTTTTTCAAACTGCTGGCAAAAAATCAGTTAAAATGTCACCAGAAGCTGTATTTAAAACCAAAAATTTATCTGAAGAAATGCATATTTCAAGAATTGACGTAAAAGATTTTAGTAGTGAAGTAGGAAATGCGTTATTCAAAGAATTTAAAACTGCAAGCGATAAGCCTATCAAAGTTTCGAAAGAAGCTTTAATTAAAACCAGAAATATTTTTCAAGATATTGATCTTGGTGGTGAAATTAATGAAAACAGTCATAATAATTCCACAACGTATGAGTTACACAAGAATTTTGAAAAACAATGTTTTCAAAACGAACCTGCCATTATTGAAGGTTTTAAGCCAGCAAGCAATAAAAACATGAATATTGCAGATGAAGATTTGACTAAAAGTAAAATGTTATTTCAAAATATGAAAATGATTTATGACGATGATGGACATATTGATACCCTTCAAAGCACATTTAACAAAAAACGAACAATTTTCAGTACCGTAGATAATTGTGATAGATATACCAAATCCGAAAATCTATTTTACAGAAACCAAAACCTCCATAAATTACGGGACAAAACGCTTAAAGATTTTAAGACTTCAAGTAATAATAAGGTACCAATGTCAGATGAAGCATTGGCTAAAAATAAAAAATTATTTCAAGATATAGAAATAAATGCTAAATACGACGAAAAAAAGGGTGTTTCTGAATTGGAAACTGCCCACAACAAGCACGATTTTAATGACAATAATCAATTTACTAAAAATATTCAAATATCTGACAAAATTTTCAAGGGTTTCCAGACGGCAAGTAATAAACAGGTCAACATTTCAAATGAAGCTTTGGCTAAAAGTAGGAAACTATTTCAAGATATAGAAATAAATGATAAATACGATGAACAAAAAGAAATTTCTGAATTGGAAACTGTCCACAACAAGCACAATGTTAATAACAATAGTCAATTTACTAAAATATCTGACCAAATTTTCAAGGGTTTCCAGACAGCAAGTAACAAACAGGTCAACATTTCAAATGAAGCTTTGGCTAAAAGTAAGAAATTATTTCAAGATATAGAAATAAATGATAAATACGATGAACAAAACGTTGTTTCCGAATTGGAAACTGTCCATAACAAGCACAATTTTAATGACAATAGTCAATTTACTAAAAATATTCAAATATCTGACCAAATTTTCAAGGGTTTCAAGACAGCAAGTAACAAACAGGTCAACATTTCAAATGAAGCTTTGGCTAAAAGTAAGAAATTATTTCAAGATATAGAAATAAATAATAAATACGATGAACAAAACGTTGTTTCTGAATTGGAAACTGTCCATAACAAGCACAATTTTAATGACAACAGTCAATTTACTAAAATATCTGACCAAATTTTCAAGGGTTTCCAGACAGCAAGTAACAAACAGGTCTACATTTCAAATGAGGCTTTGGCTAAAAGTAAGAAATTATTTCAAGATATAGAAATAAACGATAAATACAATGAACAAAACGTTATTTCTGAATTGGAAGCTGTCCACACCAAGCACAATTTTAATGACAATAGTCAATATAATAAAAATATTCAAATATCTGACCAAATTTTCAAGGGTTTCCAGACAGCAAGTAACAAACAGGTCAACATTTCAAATGACGCTTTGGCTAAAAGTAAGAAATTATTTCAAGATATAGAAATAAACGGTAAATACGATGACCAAAAAGTAATTTTTGAATTGGAAACTGTCCACAACAAGCACAATTTTAATGACAACAGTCAATTTACTAAAATATCTGACCAAATTTTCAAGGGTTTCCAGACAGCAAGTAACAAACAGGTCAACATTTCAGATGAAGCTTTGGTTAAAAGTAAGAAATTATTTCAAGATATAGAAATAAACAATAAGTACGATGAACGAAACGTTATTTCTGAATTGGAAACTGTCCACAACAAGCACGATTTTAATGACTATAGTCAATTTACTAAAAATATTCAAATATCCGACCAAATTTTCAAGGGTTTCCAGACAGCAAGTAACAAACAGGTCAACATTTCAGATGAAGCTTTGGTTAAAAGTAAGAAATTATTTCAAGATATAGAAATAAACGATAAATACGATGAACAAAACGTATTTTCTGAATTGGAAACTGTCCACAACAAGCACAGTTTTAATGACAGTAGTCAATTTACTAAAAATATTCAAATATCTGACCAAAGTTTCAAGGGTTTCCAGACGGCAAGTAACAAACAGGTCAACATTTCTAATGATGCTTTGGCGAAAAGCAAGAAATTGTTGCAAGATTTTGCCCGAAATCATGAGCAAAATGAACTAAACGAACTTACTGGTAATATTTCACACGTCAAACCTATAAATGATGACATTGAATGTAGGGCTGCAAACAACAATAACATCAATACTTTCCTAGAATCTGTAACGAAATCCAAAAAAAGAAAACTGGATTTTAATCGAAATAATGAAATTTTAAATGTTCAAAACAAAAGTATAAAAGAAACGTCTGTGAACACTAAGGAAAATATTAATTTAGATGGTATTATTGACACGCAAGTATTGAATAATTTTGAGGAGACATTGCACACTGAAGATTTTTGTAAAGAAACAAAACACAATAAATCTAAGCGATCCGGTAGCCCTATCCTTTCATGTCCGCGCGCTAAAAAGCGCAGTAGGTTTGCAGTTCCTTTTAAAAACGAGCATAAAACAACAGAGGAAGTAACTATTAAGGTTACCTCAGAGTCAAGTACAAACATATTATTTGTTTTTAATGAAAGTTATAAGAAAACCAAGAAATATACTCTGAAAACATTAAAAACTACAGAGACTCTAAATAGCGCCCAAAATGAAATTGATCAGTATATTTTAAACTTTAATTTCGATAACGTACTAGATTTTAAATTTTCTGATAAAAGAAATGAATTGACTGACGACCAATGGAGCATAGAGGATTTGAAAAAACAATTCTTATCTTTAGTCAGCAGGAAGATAATTCCAGATGGTTGGTTGGACAATCACTTGAAGTTGATTATTTTGAAATTGATTTCTTATGAAATTGAGTACTGTGATACTATGCAAGGAATCTGCTCAGTAAAAAATGTTTTACAACAACTAAAATACCGTTACGATAGGGAATTATATAATGTAGAAAGACCTGCTCTCAGGAAATTACTTGAAAAAGACGATGTATCAACACGAACTATGATTTTACGTGTTTTAGCTATATATGTAGATGGCGTTGCTGTAACCAGGTTTGTCATTGATTTCTCTTTCTTTTTTAATGGACCATTATGTGTTTACAGTTCAGTGTTACTTCTTGTCATTGGTGTCCTTTGATGCTTTAAATATATGTTAAATAATCTTATGACATCAATTTATGTATCCACTACCCCATATCGTAACGGAGGTGTCGTAAAACGTGAAACAGGAAAATAAACCAAGAGATAGGCAGTAGCATCTTGCTAATATTAACTATAAAATAAGAAACTGCATTTGCCAAACCTCCTGCAAAGCGTTGCAACTGTTGCAAATATCCCCATTATGAGATTTAAAATTTGACTTAAATTCTTTAATTAAGATAATTGATAGAATCAGGCGTTACTTTGCGGAAATCCATTATAATGGGGTTGTTATAAACTAATTTGCTTAATTCCGCGTAAAGAAAGAAAATGATGTGTATTGCCCAATTTTAAGGGGACCTCCCACCCTCCCTCAATCGCGCGCACTATACCCGTCGCCGTTAATCCCAGCACCAGCACACTAGGCACGACACACCACTCTCGAAAATACGACACGTGTTTCGCCTCTACACGAGGCATCCTCAGGTGAAGTAGACTCTGTCTACGAGAGTGGTGTGTCGTGCCTAGTGTGCTGGTGCTGGGGGTGGTAGTGCTGGGATTAACGGCGACGGGTATAGTGCGCGCGATTGAGGGAGGGTGGCCCTTAAAACTGGGTAGGACACATCATTTTCTTTCTTTACCCGGAATTAAGCAAATTAGTTTATAACAACCCCATTCTTTAATTAACTTATTGCTCGTATTGCCTCATTAACGAAAGTTATTTAGTTAGGTTACTCTTATGCTTTAATGTTATTTTTCTGGTGCTATAGAAAAGTTGGGCACGCGTTGTTCAGTATTCCATTTTATTTAGAAGTTAGGGTGACAAAAAAAAAAAGAACGGGCTGTACCTGATTGTAAATGGATGCAGTGGCCCATAAACACTTATGTATATCCTTGATTAAGAATCAATATGCATATTTATTGTCGCACTAAAGTACTAAGATGGAATGTCTTGTTGTCAGGAAAAGGGTGTTCACTTCATTTCACTCGCTATAAAAAAACGCAGCAACTGCGATTTTACTTTGGTATTTTGCGAGGGCATGGTACTTCTCTGATAGAGCCCTATTTCCCTGGGAATAAGGTGATCGCTACAAAGCTATTTATAATTTGTTTTGTGTTGTTAATTATTGTGTAACTTTTATTATTGTAAACTGTTCTTTTTTATTCAAACAAGAAATGCCCCGCTGGGTTTCTTGCTGGTTCTTCCCAGGACAGAGGTATTTTCCGAACCAGTGGTAAATTAAACACGAGTGACTTTCAATAAGTATTATTTATAATCTATATTGAATAAATAGAAATCTATTTCATATAATTCGCTCATAGATAAACATCTAGACCACGAATAATTATTTTTAAGCCTCAATAATAAAAAATCTGCTACGAGACATTACACATAATATGTGTAATGCCTCACAACCCTTACATAAACTGGCTCTTACACTTTAGACTGGAACACAAGAGTGCATACACTGCTGTTTTACTGATATTGGTGAAAGGGTGGTACTTTCCCAGACGAGCTTCTTGTAAATAAGGAGTAAATTTTATTTAGAGATGTTACCTTACAGCATGAGCAACGGCAGTAACATAGAGTTGCTGGTAACGGACGGATGGTACTGCATCAAAGCGTGTTTGGATCAGATGTTAATAAAACTTGTCCGTGATCATAAGATACGTGTTGGGACTAAGCTGGCAACACATGGCGCCGAATTATTGAATTGCGACCAAGGAAAAGCACCTTGGGAGGTAAATTTTAAACTTTTTTTTCAGTCTTGTCTTCACCAGCATCTTATCAGTCCCTTTCTGTAGGTATTTCCTTAGTTGTATGGGAATACACTATTTCATTTTCAATTTATGAGAATAGTTTGATTTTATCATTTTTCCCACAATTGGTTTTATATTTAAAAGATGAAATTGTGAATCGGTTGGGGCTACACTGCTACGGTATTGTGTCATTTTTTATAACATCAAGGTGAGAAGCGAAACACAGCCCACTTTATGGTAAGTAGATGCTGTGGCCCACAGACATCTACATCTATTCTCAATTTAGAATCAAAATGCAAATGCGATATCAAGTAATAAGGGCCTCCTGTTCTCTACACTAATCATACAACACAGTAGCATTTAGCTGCTATTTTACACTAGTAATCTGTGAGAGCGTGGTTCTTCCCCGCCCGTGTTGACCCATTTGCGCTATATCCATAATATAGCTGCAGCATGGCTCTACTCCGTATAAAACTAAAGAATGCATAGAAACGTATTTAAATTTATAAAGAATATCGTCGATTGCAACTACGTAGGTATTTACGCAAATAGTAAAGCGAACATTTTCCCTTAAAATGCGCCTTTACTTTCTCACCCAGAAGCCTCAAGACAAGACGTGATAGAAGAAAGACCAGACATTGGCAGAATTATTTTTGACTTTATTACAATATCGCATGCCATAATAAAAAAAAAAATTACATTTTCATCCAAGAACAAAAAGTTTTTTTTTTCACAACAGTAACCAACGACTAACTTATATAGCATATTTTATTTGTTTCTGGTTTAGCTAGCTGCTATGCCTTCTCCTTAAATTACTTCATATTAGGGGGGATACTTTCCATAGTTGCAACTGAATATACTCGTATGTATGTATATACAATTTTGATAGTTTTTGTTAAACAACATTTTTTCTCTACTTAAGGACACGTCATCAGTACGTTTGAAACTCTTTGGTAATTCTACACGACGTGCTCGTTGGGACGCGCGTCTTGGATATCACGGTGCGGGCGCCATCTTGGCTCCACTGTCATGTGTGGAGCTGGAAGGTGGGAAAGTGTCAAAGTTGCGCGCACTCGTGACACGAGTGTATCCTACTCTTTATGTGGAAAAATTTGAAGATGGAAGTACAGGTAAACTACTTTACACAGTTTTCTTAAGTTTATAGTTTCAAGTTGTAATTAAATTAAAAAAAATTCTAATGGTAATTTTATTCATTTTTAAAATACTTTAGTTACTCCCGTTTACCGAATCCCGTGGATTCGAAGTTCGAACTCACATTTAGTTGACCGCTTTTAGTAGTGGCCGCGTTTAAAGTAGTGCACAATGAAACATGCCGGGAGCATATTCCATTAGTTTTATCACTGCTACTGTTGGCCCAACTCTGCGCATAGATAATATATTATATAAGGCACAGATGAGCCACTCTGACAAATTATTAGGTGACCAAATGAGGGAAGTTTCTTCTGCGTTTTTGTAGATGGCGTTGGGATTATAAATTACTGAAAAATACACTAGAGGTCGCTATCAATATTATTTCGTACATTTTTCAATAAAATTGAAAGGAAATGTATTTAATTATTAACTAGTTTGTTTTAAATAACTATATATTCAGTTTGTTTGAGATCACCATGGTATGAATTGCTTCGTTTCTGCTCATAGAATTATTCTATATATAAACCGCAGTATTTCAAAACTTCGATAACATGATTTAGGCTTCGGTATAAATAATAAATACCGGCAGTGGCGTCATCTTTTTAATAAAGTGTGTAAAAATATTGGGGAAAATAGTACTTCTAATGACTATGAGATGGCGCTTGTTTCTACATAAAATCAAGCTACTGAGAACTTTCATACCCCTGACTCTGCGCTTGGCAGTATGTGTCTGACACTCGATGTCTATCATCCCCATAAGCATTTCTTTGAGATATATTGTCAGCCCTGACTATGTCAATTACTCTTGCTCTCCTGTGGATATCCTCGTTATGGATTATATAACGCAGAGTGATCCCAATGATGGCATCCATGATTTTTTCTGTCACCAGGCCGCGCCACCAAAAAGTGAGGTATAATATTTGACATATTTCATCAGAGCGGGGAAGTTAATTTGTTCGGAAAATGTAAAGGTTAATGTGTTTTTCTGCACCATTAGCTATATTTTATATTGATAATATTAAAAATAAATAAACCAAACCACAAATATTCATAAAAATAGGCAATTTATAAAAAAGTAAAAAATGTGCAAAAAAATTAAAGAGCAAACCACTGAGGCATTGTTTTGTGTATTAATATAATACTCAAGAAAGTGATAAACTTTTATTTAAAGCTAACGTCTTAATTAAATGACACTGTGACAAAAACCTTTACCTCAGTGTCAGCTAGCGACATCTGGTGAGCAGAAAATTATTGGCCCTCCTTGTATGTCTTTTCATAGTTTGTTAAGTGACTTTGAATGATCTCACACGACTTTATTGTAGTATTATATCTTATATTATTATGTAACTAAGTTAAAGCTAAGTTAAAACGACCTACAAAAATGGTAAGGCTTATCCTCACTGTTTTTCCTTATTTTTTTTAAAGTGACCCGTTCTGAACGTCTGGAACAACTCCACCAAATGAAATATGAGTCGGAAAGACAAGCACTGCTGGAGAAGATTTACGAGGAAGTGGAGAAAGAGTTTGCAGATGAGGTACATGCAATTTTTTAAATTTCGAATAGGTAGATGTAATATGTATTGCCTTACCTCTGGTTTTTTTTTCTCAGTTACGCTAAGAAAAAGTTAAACAAATTTTATTTCTTCTATATGTATATAAACGCTATTGGGATGCATTGTAGTCCCTTAGGAATACGCGGAAATGTTTCAAAGCATAAAGCATATAGACATCCGTAAATAGTCAAAGTGAAAACCGCGTATGCGACTTTTACATTACCCATTTTTATAGAATAAGCATCACAAACGAGCACGCAGTCCACCTGATGGTAGGAGGTTCAGTGGCCTCGTAGACATCTACATCTATCCTCGGTTGAAAATCAAAATACAAACAAAATAAAATGCGTTCTCACCGCTGAGAACCAAGATGCCTCGGATTTAATAAAAGAGGTTTTCGGTTATTTTTTTTTTATAGGATAGGTTGACAAAGGAGCACAAAGTCCAACTGACGGTAACTGGTTGCTGTGACCCATAGGCATCCACATTTATACTCAATAAAGAATCAAAATGCAGATGCGTTGCCACCCGTGAGGACTAAGATGGAATGCCTCTTTTCCAGTAAAAAGGGTATCCGGTTCTCTACACTCACTTTACAAAATACAGTAGGATTAAGCTGCAATTTCGTGCTGGTATTCTGTGGTACCGTGATCCTACCCCTGTCGAGTAGACCCATTCGTACTACAACCATAATATGTCTGCAGCATAGTTTTACCTCGTATATAATTTTTTAAATTGATTATGATATATGATAATGTAACAGCATTAATAATATCACTAAGATTAATTCTCGTTGTCACAGGAATCACAGGATTCGGAATGCGATTCCGAAGTCAGGACAAGTCTTAACAGCGGTTCGCAAATTAAAAGATTTATGAAACAATGCAAAGATCCCGCAGAGTTTAGGGTATGTTCAGTTTTATTTTTCTAAAATAAAAGACGAAAGTAAAGTAACAGCTTACATAACCGTGAAGTGGTGGTAAGGCGACAGAGGTAAACTGAAACAGGGGACGGACCGCAGCATCTTACTGAGAACAATTGTAAATTATTAAAAAGATGTGATTGGCCACTTGCCTAACAACCGTGGCAATTATGGCTAAATTCCTCTATTACCCAATCTTTTGGGGGAGGTCAATTAATCAGTGGACTTTTATAAGCTGTGTAATAGATGGATGGAACAGCTTGCATACATTTCACATCTTGGCACACCCTATTCACATTTCTGAGAGAGTATAAAGCAAGGTAGAGTATGTACAGACTATGCCTGGGGTATGAAGAAACGGTAGCCTGCATTCTACTTGACTGTCAAATGGTGGCCATACAAATACTTGCCGCACGGAACAAGTATTTGTATGGCCTACAAGTTGTTGTCCTGAATCTGGATATTTGTCCTTGAGCAATTTACGTGTGCAATCTGCCTTAACGATGCAGGAGAAAATCCTAGTGTGGAGGTAACGTTCTAAAAAATTGTCGTGCTTTAGATTCTAGGTCACAAGTACACCTGGGCAAAAATAAATTATTATAAATAAATAAATAAATATTTATATATAAGTTAAATACATTTTTAACCGTGAGGTCAAAGCTTTGGTATAAAACGTCTGTTAGTTAGTTAAACAGCTAAGTATCTCGGATCACCGAGGTCGCTCACGGAGGTCATTGGTAATATTAACAGTGCTCGAGGAGCTCGGATGGCCCGAATAGTTTAGGAGTCTTGCCGACCACGCAAAATACGCGCTTAGAGTTAGAGGTGCGGTCGGCCTTAGCTCCATCAATTAATCAAGGTAGAGTTCACTACGTTACCCCAATATGTGTTGACGAAGTTCATGTGTGTACATTTCATTAATCGGCACTTAAAGTAATTGCAATTGACCATTTCATTGGTCAATTGCAATTACCCTGAGGACTGACGAGAAGATTGTGGAGCTGGAAGAAGAGATCGACAAGTTACGCTGGCATATTATAGGATTATCCGAAGTCCGAAGAGAGGGGGAGGAGACGGTAATCCTCGAATCCGGCAACTTGCTCTATTACCGGGAGGGCGACCATCTGTCCCAAGGAGGTGTCGGATTTATCGTCCACAAGTCTCTCGTTAACAACGTTGTAAAGATTGAGAGTGTGTCGACGAGGGTTGCGTACCTTATACTCAGAATCACCAAACGGTATTCGCTGAAGGTCATACAGGTTTACGCACCAACCTCGGCACACCCCGATCAGGAGGTGGAGGAAATTTATGAGGATATCTCTAGAGCCATGCATTCCTCCAAAACCCAATATACGGTGTTAATGGGAGACTTCAATGCAAAACTAGGCACAAGAGAGAACGGTGAGCTGAAAGTAGGGAAATTTGGAATAGGGCAACGGAACCCAAGGGGCCAGCAGTTGGCTGACTTCATGGAGAAAGAGGGACTCTTTATGATGAACTCTTTCTTCCAGAAGCGGCCCCACAGGAAGTGGACCTGGTCGAGCCCCGACGGTTCGACAAAAAATGAGATTGACTTCATTATGACGACCAGACGACAACTGTTCAGTGATGTCTCAGTGATCGCGAGGGTGAAAACCGGCAGCGATCACCGAATGGTTAGAGGCACACTGAACCTAAACGTTAAGTTGGAGAGGTCTCGTCTAATGAAGTCAACGCTCCGTCCCCCTCGTGCTCTAATCCAAAGTCCCGAAACCTTTCAGCTCGAGTTACAAAACCGTTTTCAGTGCCTAGAAGACTGCAATGAAGTGGACGATTTGAATGACAAGCTCGTGGAAACTGTCCATGCGGTCGGAGCTAAGTTCTGCAAGACCCGCCGCAGAAGAACACAAAAACTCTCCGATCACACTCTTAATCTCATGGCTGTTAGACGGGAGATGAAGCTACATTCTTCAACAGATTTAACAGCATACAGGCAACTGAACAGACAGATCTCCAAATGCATGCGGCGGGACTTACGCAAATTCAATACAGCTCGTATTGAAGAAGCGATCGAGCGGAACCAAGGCTCCAAAGTCTTTGCCAGAGATCTGTCTGCCAGAAAGCGCCAACTGTCAAAGCTGAAGACAGAATGTGGCAGCATCGTTTCCGGGGCACCTGAGATTTTGAGTGAGATTGAGAGGTTCTATGGGCAGCTGTACACGTCATCGTTGGAGCCGCACGCAAGTGTGAGTAACGATCCAAGAGCGAGTCTTATCCGACATTATTCCGATGATATCCCGGACGTCAGTCTGAGCGAGATTAGAATGGCTCTCCAGCATCTTAAAAACGGCAAGGCCCCAGGCGAGGATGGAATTACAGCGGAGCTTCTGAAAGCGGGTGGAAAACCGGTACTTGAAGTCCTTCAGAAGCTCTTTAATTCCGTCCTCCATGGTGGCATTACACCGGAGGCGTGGAGCAGAAGTGCGGTGGTCTTGTTCTTCAAGAAAGGCGACAACGCTCTCTTGAATAACTACAGACCGATTTCCCTTCTGAGCCGCGTCTACGTGCTGTTTTCGAGAGTCATTACGAATCGTCTCGCGCGCAGACTTGACGACTTCCAGCCTCCCGAACAAGCCGGTTTCCGAAAAGGCTTTAGCACCATAGATCACATACATACCCTTCGGCAAATTGTACAGAAGTCCGAAGAGTACAATTTGCCACTATGTCTGGCGTATGTGGACTATGAGAAAGCCTTTGATTCCGTCGAAATTTGGGCGGTGCTGCAGTCCCTTCAGCGATGCCAAGTTGACTGTCGGTATATCGAAGTGTTGAAGTGTTTGTACAGTAGGGCTACGATGGCTATCCGAGTACAGAACCAGAGTACGAAACCTATCCAATTGCAGAGAGGTGTAAGACAGGGTGACGTCATATCCCCGAAACTCTTTACCGCTGCATTGGAAGATGTTTTCAAGCTTCTGGACTGGAAAGGATACGGTATCAACATCAATGGCGAGTACATCACTCACCTTCGATTTGCCGACGATATAGTCCTTATGGCAGAATGGCTGGAGGACCTAAGCACTATGCTCAATGACCTCAATAGTGTTTCCCAACGGATAGGTCTTAAGATGAACATGGACAAAACAAAGATCATGTTTAATGTCCATGTCACACCTATGCCGGTAGTTGTTAGGAGCACTAAGCTCGAAGTTGTTGACGAGTATGTTTACCTGGGACAAATAGTCCGACTAGGTAAGTCCAACTTCGACCGAGAGGTCAATCGACGGATTCAACTCGGTTGGGCGCGTTCGGGAAATTACGGCACATCTTCTCGTCAGGTATACCTCAAAACTTGAAAACGAGACTGTACACCCAGTGCGTGTTGCCAGTGATGACATACGGAACTGAGACGTGGTCCTTCACTGCTGGTCGGATGAGGAAGCTCAAGGTCGCTCAGCGAGCTATGGAGAGGGCTATGCTCGGAGTTTCTCTGCGTGATAAACTCAGAAATGAGGATATCCGCAGTAGAACTAGAGTGACCGACATAGCCCAACGGATTAGTACGCTGAAGTGGCAATGGGCCGGCCATATAGCTCGAAGAACCGACAACCGATGGGGAAGAAAGGTTCTCGAGTGGCAGCCTCGTACCGGCAGGCGAAGTGTAGGGCGTCCCCCCTCTAGATGGAGTGACGACCTGGTAAGATATGCAGGAAGTCAATGGATGCAGGTGGCTCAGGACCGTGCTTTGTGGCATTCTTTGGGGGAGGCCTATGTTCAGCAGTGGACTTGTGAAGGGCTGTAATGATAATGATGATGATGATGATTTCATTGGTGCTAGAGGAGATCGGACTCCGATTTCTCTCGTACTACGAGCGCTTATCCATTGATCTTCCACAGTTTGTCTTGTAATTTTTGTTTTGTAATAGTATTACGCTACCACCTAATAAGGGTTCTATGAAATTGGTTGGCTCGAGGGACCAAGTACTCACGTAATACCATAGCCATTCTTCTATTTGAAATAATATAATAGAAAAATTTATAACCATTCTACGTTCATATGGAGTTTTTTTAAATTTATTATAAGCCAGTGCTTGACCACAATCCCACCTGGTGGTAAGTGGTGATGCAGCGCTAGATGGTAAATCGCACTGTCTTAGCGTAACAAAAGCATATTACTCTTGCCTTGAAGACGCCCAGATTGTATTCGGACGCAAAGATAGACGCCGGGAAATTATTCCACTCCTTTGCTGTACGCATTACAAATTAAGAATTTATTAGAGTGATGAAATCTTGAAACCGTGACCGGATCTTGTAGTTTCTATGAAGTGCAAATAGTTTAAATTTGTTCCTTTGGATCAAGAGTTACGCGAAGTATTAAAAAAATTGAAACTATACATACATACACACACACACACACACACACACACACACACACACACACACGCACGCACGCACGCACGCACGCACGCACGCACGCACGCACGCACGCACGTGTCGCACTATTGGCCATGACGTCGTCCTAACTCCTTATTCACAGGCACACCTGACAAGCTCCCAATGTGCTCTGCTGCAAGATTACACGAACAAACGTAGAGAGAAATTGATCCAATCCGTACAGACCCGAGTCGAAGAAAGATTAAAAGGAAAAGGTTTGCACGTCGGCAGGAATGTGGTACCAGTTCTAAAGATTAGAGTCGCTGATGTTGGTAAAAATGGTGAAATTTCTAAAGGTATAGTTTATTCTAGACATTTTTTAGTTTTCACTTTTAATGAGAGGGATTATAAAAGATTGAAGAGGGTAATTAGTTTATATTCATGTCCATTGTTAAACTTTTTACGAGCTACTAAAATGGAATTTATCCATGGATATTGGGTTACCAGTAAATGACGTCATAGTTTTTTTGTAGTCAGTAATAATTTTATTAGTAAATTTTTAAATAATAAAAACGGAATTTAAATTAAATCGGAAACATTATCAAGTTTTGGGAATTTACTAAAAGTAATAAATTTTTTTTTTGGTCCCCGGACTCTGGCGGGCTTAAGGGTTGCCTATACGTAGAGGCATGTTGTAGCTATATTATGGTTGTAGCACGAATGGGTCGGCTCGACCGGGGAAGGACCACGCTCTCACAGAATACCAGCGTAAAATAACAGCTTAAGGCTGCTATGTTTCGTATGGTGAGTGTAGAGAACCGGAGAACCTTTTTATTGGATACGAGGCATTCCATCTTAGTCCTCGGTAGTGAAAACGCACCTGCATATTGATTTTTAACCGAGGATAGATGTAGATGTGTATGGGCCACACTTACTATCAGGTGTACTGTGTGCTTATTTGTCACCCTAATTCTATAAAAAATTAAAAAAAGACGCTGCTGCCCATCGCTTGGTAATAAGAAAATGAAAAATTGCGGTGGCAACTATCACAAATATCCCCCTTATTATGCAATTTATGGTGCCTATGTCAGCACTGGACTTTAGATGAATGTAAATTACATTCGTTTACATTATGTAAGGCATGGATGGAATAATATATGTCACATCACATTCCAAAGAAAAAGGAAGGAGACACTAAAAAAATTTAATTTAATAAGATTCCTATTTTTCAGCCATGATGTCAGTTTGGAGGCCAAATGATGCAATACTAGATATAATTCAAGAAGGATCATGGATCAATGTATATAATATTGTTCCAACAGCCATGAGGTAATTATTTTGCAAACTGTAAGTCTTTATTACCAACAGTAGAGATATATATAAGATGGGCCAATTTAAGAGACATTTAACTTACGAGTGGGAAAGGTGTGTCAGGATTGTGCCATTGAGGGCTAGTAGTTTTCCGCTCACCAGATGTCGCTAATTGACATTGAGGTGAAGTTTTTTGTTACACAATGTCACTTAATTGAGAAGTTAGTTTTAAATAAAAGTTTATCAGTTTCTAGAGTGTTATATTAATACACATATAATGGTTTGCTCTTTAATTTTATCACATTTTTTTAACTCTTTATTTTTTTACTTTTATGAATATCTGTGGTTTCATTTATTTATTTTTAAACTAATTAATATAAAAAATTACCAATAGTACAGAAATAAACATTAATCTTTACATTTTTCGAACAAATTAACTTCCCCGCTATTAATTCTGTCAAATATTACACCTCATTTTTAAGTCGCGCCGCCCTGGTGGAAGAAAAGTGGATGCTCCCATTGGAAATCCGTAGTCTCTGCCTACCTTCCGTAACCCTCTGAGAGTTATTAATATGTATTATGTATACCACTCAATACAAAACTTCTGCTGGTATGTCATATGTCTCCTAGCCATAAAACACGACCCATATGTTTCATTGGGCCGTCATTTTATTCACTTGGGGTCACCCCACACTGTGTTGCCAGTACGAGACTGCCACACTAAAACATCTTTTTAAAATCATAGCAAGTTGTAAATTTTTTGAGCGATTTTTTGATTACGAATTTAGCTTACTAATAGTCTGTCAATTACTCTTGTTATATTGCAAATATTCTTTTTACTGATTTTATAAGCTAGCCCAGGGAAACCGTGATCATAGCATTCTCCATTACTTGTAAATAACTCAAATATTTCAGAAATGCGATATTCACAGATTTTTTTTTAATTTATATGTGTGATGTGTATACGACAAAATGTATTTGGTATGTTTTCAATACCGAAAATATTTTACTTCCAGGTATTCCGAAATACAATTGTCTGCTGGAAGGCAAACAATTTTTAGTAGAACAATCTTCAAGGAAAATGATAAAGTAAAAGCTATGGTTACAAATCTTAAGAGGACCTGTTACAGCATTAAAGATTTAGCCATGAATCCAATGATTACTACAGACTATAATGAAGTTGACACTGTAGGGCTTATATTTTTAATTGATCCACCAAGTGAACAATTTCAATCAGTAAAAGCACAATTTCAAAATGTTTATTTGACAGATGAAGAAAAAAACCTAATTTGTATAAATTTCTGGGGAGGATTAAAAAAATTTGGTTATGAGAATGTTCTTGACACATGTCAGGTAGTGGCGTGCATGAATTTGCAGAAGAGGTTTGGCAACACTAAAAAAAGTATACCCCAGTTTCGCGCCACAGAGTTTTCTTATTTTACGAAAACATCAAAACTAGCGAATGTGCGTAAAATGACAGAGGAATTAAGCAAAGCGTTATCTTGTGTAAATATAAAAAGGTTTTGTCAAGAGTGTATAGAAAAGAAAAATAATTGTTCAGTATTAAGAAATAATTGCGAAAAAATATCACCGTATAGAATAAATTATAGTGACTATAATGTATCAAAACACAAAATGTTTATAGATTCACCACTGACGCGAAAACCAAATCCCATTGAGGATATTTTAAACCTTAGCGGACTAGACTTTGAGTCTACTTTCAGACAAATTGATACACAAGACATAAGTCCTAGCGTCTTATCAAGAAAAAAGAAAGTGGAGGAAAAAATTGCAAAATTAAAAATGTATGGAGAGCCCCCACCGTTGAATCCCATACATATTATTAACAAATCTAAAAACGCAACGAGTGCTTTTAAAAGCCCTCTATCTTCAAAGAATGACACTTCTAATAGTGTTGCTAACGAAAAATCCAAAGACAATACAAATGTTATCGTTAGGAATAAACAATCAAGCCCTGTGATATATGGTGGAAATAACTGTGTAAAAAGAAAAAATGCTAGTCCCATTAAGTTAAACTTTCCTAGTGATGTTCCTGAAAAAGAAAATAAAGGAAGCCAAGTCGTTGATCCCTTTGCAGAAGAGTTCGATGGTAGCCCGCCTTTAAGCTTAGACTAACTTATATTTAAAAAAAAGTTAATGTTGATTTATTCCTCTATAAATATACTGCGCTATTTTATTATTTGTATTTATAGTACTTTTTAATGAATGTATAATTTACTAAATATCCTATTGTAAATATTGTAAATCCATTTTAAATATATGTATGTGCAATAGTGTTAATACTATATGTGTCGATGATTAATATATATATATATATATATATATATATATATATATATATCAGAGGTTTTAACGGATACCAATTATCTGTTTTCGTTGATACATGGTGAATATAAGTATTCTTAATAAAAAAAGGACAAAACATACGAAGAGAGACAATTGCCGATAAGTATTGATTTGTAACCAAACCCCCTTATTAAGGGATTGAATGGCAGAATAAAACACAGTTATATTAAAAAAATAATGTTATAACACATTATTTAACCCATATTATAATAATATTTATTAAATACAATTTGCATTAATATGAGGTACTTTTTTCAAACCCGAAGAACAACCTATATACCTGAAAATATTAGTTTTTTTCTTTTTATGTTAGATCTTGATGGCACCCAATGATAAGCCGAGCGCTAAATCACATAAATGACAAAATCGTATATTTTTACATTTTATGATGCTGGTACGATTGTTTTTCGTGAATTTTGTATAAAAAGTCCACTCTTAAAGTAGTAGATAAAATAGTACGTAGTAACGTACTATTTTATCTAAGTTTATATTTTGTGCCTTAAAGCTTAGCATAGTGATCATATTTTGTAAATAATTTATAAGTTGTTTCAGTTTATAACTAAAAAAACCGCAAATATCAGTATTTTGAAACTAGTGTTGTTACCATTTTTGTTGATTTGAATATATTTTACTGAATTCCGTTTTTCGTTTTTTTTTTATTATTTAAATTATGGTTTAAAAGAAATATTTATTATTTCAGCAAGGGAAGATAAAGTAGTGGTAAGATAAATTGTCACTCACTATGGACTATATTGTAAGAGTGCTCATTGGCATAAACTTTTTAGTGGTTCCTACTATATTGGTGAAAATACGCTGATACATATTCCACACCCAAGAGTGTTTCAGTACTACGTGTCACAGACAAAGAACGTAGGTTGATTATACTGCGCTCTCGCTCGCACTTACAAGCCTTGAAGAAAAGCGTAGTGATGCATAGGTGTTATTGTTTATAACGTTAATTACCAATAATTTTATTAAAGCGTATAATTACCTCTTTTTTTTCAAATAATCTACAGATGACTTATTCGCTTACTTAGTTACTTACTTAGTAGGCAACATCCGATGGATGGCGGTGTAACCATTATTTTTACGGCAGACGTAAAATATACAGTCAAAAGTGCGAGATGTCTGGTACTGGGATCTTCAGTCCGGCTGCCAAGTATGACTATGGTAAATCCTACTTACAATGGAAGAGGCCTATGACCAACAGTAGACTATTACGGGCTGGTGATATTAATGATGATGAATTTTATTATTTCAGCAAGGAAAGATAAAGTAGTGGTAAGATAAATTGTCACTCACTATGGACTATATTGCTATATTGTTTATTTAGCAGGGATAGTAGATATGATAAGGATATAGAACGACGAGTGAACGCAGGAAATAGAGTGAATGGGGCTCTACACGCTATTGTGAGGAGTCAGAATGTGTCAACTAAGGCACGTATGGCAATTCACAATGCTGTGTTAGTACCCACTTTAATGTATGGTAGTGAAAGTTGGGTCTGGCAGAAGAAGCATGAGAGTAGAATAAATGCTGTAGAAATGCGTTCCTTAAGGAGTATGCTAGGGCTGAATCTGAATGACAGGGTGAGAAATAGTGTAATAAGAGAAAAGTGTGGTTTGCAAGATGACGTTGTGACAAGGATTAAGAAAGGAATGCTTCGGTGGTTTGGTCACGTAGAAAGAATGAACGAGGAAAGAGTGACAAAGCAAATTTATGTTGCAGAAGTGAACGGCAGGGTCGGGAAGGGACGCCCTAGACGAAGGTTTATCGACCAGATCGGCGATACATTGAAAATGGGCCAGATTAGGAGTACCCTTAACCGACGAGCGTGTATGCGTAGATATATGGATGTGAAAGAGGCGAGAGAGGTGTGTCAGGATCGCGCCAAATGGAAGTCCGTAGTCTCTGCCTACCCCTCTGGGTGACAGGCGTGAGTGTTTATGTATGTATGTATGTATTGCAATATTATAATTTGACGTTCGTTGTTTCTATAAACCCTCATGATGCAGGGAGGCAAAATCAGTTCGTTTTTATCGTTAATAAATTAATAATTTAAAATAAATATTATGTAACAAGTACAGATGCAGGGGCGTAGCTACCGCCGTATCAATGATACAGGGACCCCGAATGTGTATAAGCAAAAATTCTATGGGACGGGAAAGGCTATCAGACTTGTCACTATTGTCTATATATGCAGAAAATTTAGAAAAACTGATAGTTATAGTTATAAATGATAATAAGTCCACCAAACAAAAGACAGGAAAATCCAAAAGTGCACGCCTTATGAGCGTTTTATTTAATTTTCATGAAAAATATGAATTGTATTCCTGCCTTTCAAAATATATTATTTACGTGTTTTAAATTTAGCGCTCTATTACTTTAAGAGGTAGTGTCACCTACAGAAAAAAAGCTTTATAGTTCATGTGTCCTTTGTCTATCAAGGTCTAAAAAGAGCGCCTTTAAATTTTTAATAGCAATAAAACTTACAAACTTGAAAACCATTTTATTATCAAACTACGCGTACAAGGCTATTGATAGGAAGTAGAGAACCAGTTGATTTAATTAAAAAGCTAATAAAAAACGCGGTCTCTATACGTCAATTTTTTCGAGAGTTATCGTGACTACATATAAAATCAACATCCGGACGTCCACGTAATTTTTTTTCAAAGTAGCAATATAAAATGATTTTTTAGAAAATTTAACATGGATTAATTAGAGTATTTTCTTGATATACGGCTACTCATATTATCGTATAAGCATCATTCTGTGGTATAAGTTAAATAAGGTTATAATCGAGGCATTTTATGAACACAAAATCTCTTGACCGTGAGGTGTCGAGATTAAAGCACTACCTAATAACGATTCGCGTTATGAGGCGTGCAAAAGTGTTTACTTGATTTGAATTGTTTGGCTAGTTTAGTTCCTACGAGTATTAATTGTAAGTAATAGCTTATAATCAATATATAATTATTTAATTCAATGCGAGCGTTTTAGTTCCTCTTGTTTTTTTTACTCTTCATTTGGGCTCCGCAATAAATTTTGATACAGGGTCCGTCTAAGGCACGCTACAACATTGTACACAGTTCATTATATAAAAAGTACTCTGTGACTGTACAGGTGAATATCTATATCACAAAAAATAATCAGTTATGTTCACGATCCTTTTACTTTCCTTTTTCAATATGTGTCTACCATGTGAAAATCAGCAGTTCAATCTATTCGTAACTTAATGGTAGTTGATTTTAAAGTAAGAAGAATTTTCAAAAAATTCTAACATGTTCCCCTAATTATTTGTTGCTTGTTCACTTAGATTATCACACACATAATACAAACAACATTGTTTTGTTGCTGGAGGGGTATGTTCAGCAGTGGACTTGTGAAGGTCTGTAATAATGATGATGAATATAAACAATATTCATGATATTATAAAAATTGCAAATTGTGGCTTTATTTTGGAGTTTTTTATGTAATTTATATATCGGATTTTTTTTATAGTTTTATATTATTTAGTGGAAAAGTTAAATGTTTACCTTATTTTGATACACTAATTTGTTAAAAAAGTTACCGTTTTTGTAAATTATTGTAACGCTAGCAAACATGAAAATATGTTGTCATTGTCACTGTCACCTGAAGGTGACCTTCATCTCCTCAGATTGCTTGACGTTTAACCTGTAAAAAATATTTTCATTTGAATTTTGTACCCGCGTAGTCCTGCGTTTATGTATTCTTACCGTCTAAAATAAAAAACGGAAGTGGCGAAATTTATGAAAGCTGCGATAAGAGCCACGTATACAGTGAATTTTAAGTGATAAAACTACAAATTGCGGTTTGCGAAAGTCGGCGTTTTCTTTTCTACTTTTATAATTGGTAAGTGAACTTTTTTTTAATGGTCCATTGGGCTCCAATGCATCTACATTGTTCATACTGAAGTGTGGATAAAAATAGTTTTATTTAGTTAATATCCTCTGTCATAATATGTAAAATTTGTGCTTTACATGCCCCTGTAAAATAATAATCATGTATAGTCGCGTCAGAAATAAGCCGCACTTAAAATATTCGGAGCATATTTTACGTGCGGCTTATTTCCAACCAAAATATTGACTGTATCTACCAGCAATGACTACTATTTTTTAAGTGTCTACAATTATATTATACAGGTTTATTTATTATTATAAATTAAGTCTTTTCAGGTTATTTTCTGGCTTTAATTTTTGCTTCAGAGTTCACTTTCAGAGTCCATCCGTGGTATCATTACTATTATCCTGAAGTGTCCATTTTTGTGCAAAGACATCCTTCCATAACAGACACACAATTTAATCTTGGATTATTGTGTGCTGTCCTGTTACTCAAAACCTAAATATTTTGCTTTAGTTAATTTTTCTATTTCTTCTATGTCATCAGTCTGTAAAAGTCCATCAATGGACATGAGCGGGTCTTGTATGTAGAAGGATTCATAGTAGCCTAATGGTTAATGGTAAGTAGTAGACTGTGAACTCAAAAGTTGTGGACTGGAATCCGCCATCAGAATACTGTTGTGAACCTCTCCTAACACGAGTAATTAAAGCTTACCTGAAATGATTAATGGGTTTTAAGCAAAAAAGTATTAGGTTCCTTTTTTCTCCTGTATGTGTGATTGCCACTGCCTTGTCCATATCTGTGTTTCTGTAAAGTAGTTTAATGAAGAATGTTTATGTGAAAGTTATGTTCACTCATGCAATGAATTTTGATTGCTTCTTTATTGTTTAATGATGGAAAACACGATG